CCTCTCTCTCTCTCTCCCTCTCCCTCCCTACCTCTTCCTCTACCCCTCCACCCCCAGCACCCATTTTACATACAAGGAAGACAAGAAATTAAGTAACACAATTCGGTAGCAAAAACAAGTAGTAGAAGAAGCCAGACATTTTTTTTCTTTCCGAACAAACAAAACACCGACAGCAATCAGATTCTCTAATTCTTAATCTGTAACATCTTAAAAAGCGTTTCTATTGAAAGACATCATCTTCTTAGACCAAGTTTCTCCTTCATTTTGCAGGAGTTAATCCCAAAGCACAAACCCCTTTCACACCTCCTACTTTCCCANGTCCCCCTTCAGCCTGCTGTGACGCACCGGAGGCGCTGACGTTGACCGTGTTCTGGAGGTAAAGGCCAGTGCTTGAATTTGAATGGGGAAGAGGGGCGGGGTCTTAGCAATTGCCCTTGGCGTGTGGTCTGACAGGAACCGGGATGGGGAAAGTAATTTCCAGTCTCCAACAGGCACAAGTTGGAGTGGAGAACACAAACCCTGGAGCCAGATTTGTTGGGTTTGAACCCCAGCCCCAAGGCCATAGTCACTCTATGGCATTGGGCAAGCCAGGTCATCGCTCTGTGCCTCGGTTGCCCGATCTGTAAAATGGGCACAATGTGGGGAGTACATGAGTTAGTGTATGCAAAGCACTTAGAACAGTACTTGGCACAGAAGTGTGCTATATAGTAGAGGCTACGTGACGTTATCTAGTGGCATATTCTCTTATGCGTATCAAGGCACGTTATTTAGTGGCATATTGTCTTATGCGTATCAAGGCTGCTCATCTTGCAAAGGAGGCACAGTCTGAGTAATTGTTAGAAGGAAAACGGGGGGATATTTCAAAATAGAAAGCTATAAATCTTTTCCTGGCCCAGAGCTACAAGGACAGTATACTGGACGTTGGAAATGCATTGTTTTTCCTCTTAAGTACAAAACTAGACTGGAGCCCGTTATAGATACAGTATTTTGGTTTTTTGCTCATACTTTGGCCATAACGATCCCTCCTTTATGTCTAGTGGCCTTTAAAACACTTTGTGAAACCCCAAGAATGCAATTACATAACAATAAAGATTCTAGAAACCCGTTGTTTAATTGCAGTCACGTTTATTTGCAGTTTCTATACACACTTTCTAGGTAATCAAACTTCTCTGATACATTTTTTTTTGAGGGGTTCACAATGAAACTGTCACCGTTTTTACTAAAAATAAATACAAGACTTAAAGTGTTGCACAGCTCTAAAATATACAAAGGCTTGGATTGAATGTAAACGTTGAAAACATCTTACAAAAGAAACCATCTTTGCAACAATTTAAAAAGTTCATATTTACAAATATTACAAAAATACAAAATGGATGCAAGTCCATAAACCATTGTCTTTTTGGCCAACATGAACTGGTTCTAGTACCGAAATAGTTACACTGTAACCTTCTTCATAACTTTAGATCTTTGTCACTCACTCACTGACCTTTGGCAAGAGCAAACAGCATGTTTTGTTTGCTACAACTAGTCCATGTCCTCTACTTAGCCAAAAACAAAAGAACAAAGCAGAATAAAAAAAAAACAAAAAAGAAAAAAATTCCCCCCCACAATATAGACATGTTGTATACACGTAAAAGAACAAAAAATTAGCGTCAGTGCAAACAGAAGAAAAGTTTGGATTGATGTTCACAATACCTAACGTGCTTCAAGCCAGTAGTGATGTTGAAGACAGCCCTAAATCTTGGTCTTTGTGTGCTCTGTAATAAAGCCATGTACAACATTCCGGATTATTAAGGAATTTCTTGCTTTTTTACTCAGTTTGTTACTCAATACTCTTTTCCACAGTGAATTTAAAATCCCTCTTTCTTTGGGTTTTTTTTTAAAATCTATGAAATACAAAATAGAGAAACTCTGCTATAGATTTTTAGAGTAAACAAAATAAGTAAAACTATTATAAGGGTTCTGTGACCATTACATATAGAAGGTATCTTATTGCCTCACAATTCAAGTCAATATGTATTTTAAAATATATATGGTACCATTATTTAAATTAATGTCAATAATAAAAAGGTGACATTTTTATTAAAGCCAATTCATGTGTTTTCTATTCAAGATTTAGAATCACTTTTAAAGCCCACATACCTTTCTTCATGCTTAAAAAACCCCTAACTACACAAAAGCCATACTGCAAACGAACTGCTTTTATGAAGATTACAAAAGATCACCTACTGTGACTGGAAATGATGGTTTCTTATCACATGTGTCTAAAAACATTATTTTAAAAATGTTGCCAAGTGTACTTTTCAAAGCATGAGATAGATTTATTCATGTTCCCATGTGGTGTCAAACCATGATGGTTTTCTTAACTAATGGGTTCCAATGAGAAATGATGGTCCATTTTTTCAAACCCCAAAACATTTTTCTTTTAATAAAAAGTATAACACTTTGTAAATTTCAAACTTTCTACCAGATAGCTTATCGAGCTTATCTATCCCCAGTGTGCACACACACATTCTTCTCTCTCTCTCTCTCTCTCCCTCCCTCTCTCTCTCTCCCTCCCTCTCTCTCTCTCCCTCCCTCTCTCTCTCTTTCTCTTTCTCTC